ATCCGATGGGTACTAGTATACATATTTGATTTTATAACAACTTTCCACAAAAAAAAATGTTATTAACAAAATTTCATTTTCGAGGGTGGAAATAATTATAAAACAGTTTTGAAAATTACTTCAGAATGCCAAAGGAAGAATAAGCGCATGCGCAGATTAGAAAAAAGATTCTTATCATGATTTTAAGCCACGTGAGTCCTTTTTAAACATTTCATAATTGAATACAGTTACTTCAAAATGCCTAGAAACTCCCCCGTTAATGAAAATAAAAAAGGGCAAATTTCTGCCTATAAACTGGAGGGGAAAATCTATAAGTTTCATTGCAAGAGAACTGTCGAGTTCCCGTAGAGTTGTGAGAAATTATCTAAATGACCATGAATCATATGATACCAGAAAACGTCCAGGTCGTCCACCTAAAATCACAAATGCCGCCAGACGTCGACTTTTTCGAGAAGCTTCTAAAGGACAATCAAGCTCAAGAGACCTGCAAAAATCTCAGAATTTACCCATCACTCCAAGAAGAGTTCATCAACTTCACCATGAATCGCCAAATCTCGTGTATCGAAACAGGAAGACAGCCTCTGATTTAACTGATAAACACAAGAAGATGCGCGTAGATTGGGTAAAGAAAAAAGTAACATAGACAAAGGAAAAATGGGAAACCATGGTGTTTTCTTGATGAGCAAAAGTTTAATTTGGATGGGCCCGACGGCTACCAGTGTTATTGGCATGATTTAAGAAAGGAGAAGCAGCTGTTTTCAAAAAGACCATTTGAAGAAGCATCTGTTATGGTTTGAGGAGCTTTTTATGTGTCTGGAAACCTGATTTAGTAATGATGGAAGGGAAACAAAACTCGATATATCAATGTGTTGGAAAAAAGCCTTGTCCCATTTATGAATCGTCTCGACACCTATAATGCCCCTTTTCAACAGGACAACACAGCCATACATACTTCTAAGCTCACGAAAGACTGGTTTAAAACAAAAAAATATTGAAGTTTTGGATTGGCCCACTAATTATTCAGATTTAAACCCAATTGAAAATTTGTGGGGAATTTTGTTAAGAAGAGTATACAAAAATTAACGTCAATTTGAAGATAGAGAAAGTTTAAAATCTTGCATTAAAGTGTACTGGAATGAAATTCCATCCGAAACTCTTCTTGATTCAATGCAAAACAAGTTTGTTGAAGTATTACAATTGAAAGGGAATAAATGTAAATACTGAATTTTGTACAAGTTTGTTGTTAAATACAAATTTTCAAAACTGTTTTATGCTTATTTCCACCCTCCAAAACCCTTTTCTTAATAACTTTCTTAATAACTTGTTTTTTTTTTTTTGAAAGTTGTTATAAAATCGAATATGTATACTGACACCCATCGGATCTAGGTACCACACACAAATTTTCAGAAGAATTTGTGCAGTAATAAGAAAATTATTAACAATTCCATGGGTGTCTTATACTTATTTCCACCACTGTACATTTTCAGAACATTTTAATACTAAATCCCATAAGGAACATTTAAAAAGATTTTTGAATGATTCTTTTTCTACGGCGTATCAAACCTTTGCAGGCTATTTAGGTTCCCAAAGGTTACTTTTAAAGTAACTGACATCCTTATCCCTATTATTCTTAGAATTATAGAAGTTTTCTCTGTTAAACATTTTCAAGTGTTTATACTTATTGTCTCTTATCAAAACCTTGACTGTGAAGGTACCCACGTTTTTTATGGCTTAGCAAACCTTTGGACGTTATTTAAAGCCAGAACACATTTTAGAATTCTTTTTGGAGATGATAATGATTTAATAATACAAATCTTACTAATTCTCGTATAGCTGATAGATTCCTACCATTCCCGATGGTATTTGCGAATATAACGAACGCAACTGGAATTGGAATTCGGTTGCCCGATCAACAATTTCGAGCCATTATCCATTACACTAACCATTCATCCAAGCTTACAGCACCTGGTATTCTCTAGCAGTCACCCATCTAGGTTCTGACCAGGTTCGATGTTGTTTAACTTTGGTGATCGTAAGGGAACCGATGTTTTAACGTGATATTGTCCTAAGCTCTGATCGTAAAATCGTTTTGGTGTTCTCATGGAGGACCAAAACCTTAATGTTTTGATTCATTTATCGATTAATCTAGAGTTGTTGTTTTGTATTTCTCAGTAAATGGTGTAACGAATGTTGTTGCAGAAATCGCTTAGGCGTGACACTGATCGTCACAATACAATGTTGATTCCTATGTCCACATAGTTTATTCTTGTGACCTATGTCTACAAATGCGCTCTCACTCCGCTATTGATCACTCTTCCCTCACAAGTATAGCAACATTTTAAACAACACACACACACACGCGCGCGCGCGCGCACACACACACACACACACACGCACGCACACACACACACACACAAATATATATATATATATATACTTGTTTAGGGGAAGTTTAATAATATATTAAGACCAAGCCCCAGGGAGCCTTCTCCACAAGCAGAACTTCATCCGGAAGAGGGCTGGGTTTATTGCCCAGAGCTTGAGGCATCCCCAGAAGGAGACGTACCTTGCCTTTAAACCAACTTTAAACTGACCTTGTGTCACATTCAGTAGCGATGTGGGTGCACTAGTATGTGAGGGTGGGAGGAGAGAGAATGAGTGAGAGGAAAGAAACTCACTGGTAAGTGAGGGTGGGAGGAGAGAGATTGAGTGAGAGGAAAGAAACTCACTGGTAAGTGAGGGTGGGAGGAGAGAGATTGAGTGAGAGGAAAGAAACTCACTGGTAAGTGAGGATGGGAGGAGAGAGATTGAGTGAGAGGAAAGAAACTCACTGCAAAGGAGGGGGGAGGAGAGAGATTGAGTGAGAGGAAAGAACTCACTGGTAAGTGAGGGTGGGAGGAGAGAGATTTAGTGAGAGGAAAGAAACTCACTGGTAAGTGAGGATGGGAGGAGAGAGATTGAGTGAGAGGAAAGAAACTCACTGGTATGTGAGGGTGGGACGAGAGAGATTTAGTGAGAGGAAAGAAACTCACTGGTAAGTGAGGGTGGGAGGAGAGAGATTGAGTGAGAGGAAAGAAACAAACACATGCACATACGAATATTCAACGCCATATGCATATATTTTTATCAGTGCATGCTCACTCACTCTCTCTCTCTCTCTCACTTTCTTCCTCCCTCTCTTCAGACCACCAATGACATCTATCAATTATTCAGTTATCCAGTGCAAAATCATGATCTTTGCGATAAAAATAAAACATCAAATGAATATATTGGTCACGCGGCATGCTTTTTAATTAGATGTCTGAATAGCCTCCTGAGTGATCATAGTCCGATAAGTCGACACTTAAACGCCTTGCACCCATAAGAAAAATCTGCGTAAATAATAGTGTCATTTTAAAAACTGGCTGTAAAAGATGTTTAAAGAAAATGGAAGCACTTTTTATAAAACTACCGGCCTACACATGTTATTACTAACCGAAAAACATTGGGTGTGTTTTGAAGGCACTACAGCATGGAATTACTACTACTAGACGATATAACTTAGAATACAAACGCAAAAATATATTGTGAACACATTGAAAATTGCTAAGTGTAGCTTACGTTGCTACCGAATGTGTCCCAAGGTCGAGGTTTAGAGAGTGTTTAACGTCAATCCGGTGGGAAAATTGCCCAAACCTCTTCGGAAATTCACTTTTTGATGGCGCCTCAGGCACTGGGCAAAAAACCTCCTGAAGGAGATATACTGCCTAGTGGGGAGTATACCTTGGGCTTAATATTTTTTTTAAACTACCCGGCATGTGCCAGGGAAGTATAAGTACAAAATAATTAAGTAATTCATCGAGTCTAGAAGAATCCTCAACAGAATGCAGAAAACACTGGACAGCCGTTTCGTCCTAAATTGGCGCGCATTCACTACCAAGAATCGAAGCCGGACCGTTACGATATGACACAAGCGTCATACCCACTGAACCAACGGGTCTCGGTGACGAAGAGGTAACAAACTAGACACAATATAGCGCCGTTCTACACAAATTCCGTCGTGTAATTCATTCAAGTTTACTTAGTCCAACGGACTATGCCCTCACGAGTCACGTCTTCCATTCCAAGCCGCTTCATCCAGAGAGTTAGAAGCCGGTTCAAGTAAGGATATACACGTGATTGAAATTATTAGGGGGACTTGAATAATCATAATTAAGTAATTCATCGAGTTTCGTCTTATTTTCGTGCGCATCCACTAATAAGAATCGATCCCGGACCCTTACGATATGATGCAAGCGTCATACCCACGGGACCAATGAGTCTCGGTGACGTATAAAATAGCTAAAGTATTCACCCGAAACGCCTCGGACAATAATCCCTGCTGACAGTTTATACTCATTCTTAGTCCGCATAAAATAAAAAGTGCAAAAACACTTGAATATGACAGTAGTGTAGTAGGTATTCTTTTTAGTTCCAGTAAAGTTCACCCAGTGCAAAGCCCGGGGGTCACTCGAAGTAGAGGGTTACGCAAAGGAGTAGCTCATATGAATGGGAGGGGATGATAACAGTTGACTCTAAACTTGAACAGATTAAGATTCTAGCGATGTGGGGAAATCCTCTTGGGAGTCTGTTCCATAAGGCAGTGACTTGCAGGAGGAAGCTGTTTGGAATTTACTACTGACCGGTGGAATACGGAGAAAATGCGGGTGGTTCGATACTATGTAAGTGGCTGGCGTGTCCTAGCCGTAAAGGTCAAACCTGGTGGAACTAAGAAATGCAGTTCGTCCAAACATTGTCCATGGTAGTAGCGATAAAGCTGTGAGAGACTCGCAACAACTTGCTTAAAGTGTTGGTTAGTGAATTTAGTGACATTGTAATTCTGAGTTCAATCCCACGGCCGGACAATGTGTACGTGATGAGGACAATAATCCGCATGTAAATAGTGTAGACAATGATAGCTCCACATCACAGAAATTCAGACAGAAGCACGAGAAAAACTGATTAAAAAACATTCAACGAAAGGCCATATCAGGTTGAAACATCGGTTCCCGTACGATCACCAAAGTTAAGAAAAGTCGAACCAGATCAGAACCTAGATGGGTGACCGCTTAGGAATAACAGGTTTTGAAATCTTGGATGTTCAAGTGGTTTAATGGGATAATGCTCGTAATTGTTAATCGGGGAGCCGGGTTTCGATTCCACTTGTGTTCGTTATATTCACTCACGCGCAAATATTTTGGGGCAAGGTATGAATCCACATAATCTCACCCCAGCTATGAGTTAATTAGTAAGACTTGTATCACTAAATCATTATTATCTAAAAAATTTAAAAAAATTCTTACAATTTAAAAAATATGTTCTGCCTTAACCTTTAAAGGGCCGATAATCTGTAGAATCAACCAATCAACATTCAATGAAATATTTATAAAAGCATGGTTGCTTCTCAAACATTCAGCACACACACACACACACACACACACACACACACACATATATATATATATATATATATATATATGTATGTATGTATAATAAAGCAATTTCCACACCTAGAGAAGACACCCTAAAGTATAAAATTAAAAATAAATCCAGACGCATTATTAACCACTTTCAACACCACTCTTCCTCCACTATCTCAGATAATCAAAAGTCGCTGGGAAATACTACATCTCAAAACAAACCTAAAAACTTTGTTGGAGGAACTCGGCCTTCTAGCATATAGTAAACCTTAAGAACCTTGAGGAATTTATAGGTAGTAACCAAATATCAGATGATAAGGTAACCCGTAATAGACCAAAAATAAAAACAACAGGATTTTCCCAACCATGTAACAATAAAAGAAGCCTATGTTGTAACCACATTAGACATACCAATTCGTTCACTAGCCCAGTCACTAAATCTACTTTCAAAATCTACCACAACTCTAGCTGTAAAAGTCATAACATAATTTACCTAACAGAATGCGCACTATGACAGAAACAATATGTGGGAAAATCTGAATGGCCCTTTCAGTAAAGAATTAATAATTATCGGAATCGGATCAAGTTGGTGCCCGACGAAAGACCGGTAGACCAATAATTCGCCTAGAAAACATGATGTTAAAAGCTATGCAAAATTCACTATGATTGAAAAAAATAGAAATAGACAGAAAAGATAAAATTAGAAAAATACTACAGGAACATGAAGACAAATGGATTTTGCGCCTCAGAACACTTTGTCCAGACGGGCTTAACCACAAATTTAACAACACATATAGAATTAATATATAACCTCATAAATCTAGCCCTACCCACATTTTCCACCCACACAAGACAGACATGATTGCAGAGGTGTTGAGGTCTCACACTTATGCACACACTCATACTAACATATACACATACAAACATCACGCACACCCCCAAATAACTAAAAGATAACACACTTAACACACACGTCCCATTCCAAGCAACTAATAACTGTCAAAATGACCAAGGAGGGAATTCTTAAAGTCCCCCACCCTCTATCTTAAAATCAACTTGATAGAGGCCGTTTGACCAACACAAAGACTGGCCAAAATTAACGATAAAAAACAATTGAAAACTACAGATAAAATTTTTTTCAGAAACAGCCATTCACCCCAGTAGTTCACTGCTACTTGCATTTCCTGATGATGGCCATGCTGGCCGAAACTAGTCGAGGAAACTAATTGAAATAATAAAACAAAAATATTAATATACAACCCAGTGTGTCCGAAAATTTTAGTTTTTTAATATTTTTTATTGTTCAAAACATATATATATATAGTCAAATATTGATATATACCTATATTTATACACTTATCTATATATCGTTAGATGACTAATCAAAAGACAGATACGTGTGAAATCTCGCTAAAATGCATTGCATTGTTGCTTCATGCACGCCTTTTTCCGAATGTACGTCTATTTTCTTTTCTTTTTTCGTTCTTTGTATTCGCATCATTCATACGTATTCAGATGTTCTTTCAAACTCCATTCATTATGGAATCCGTACAGCACGTACATGCGCGTCAACACAAACGCTTTCATACGCATGCGTATACGCGCGAATCTTTTGGAAATAGTGACCGAAAGGGGAAACAAATTCCTGCTCGGGCTTAAACAAGTTCATCTCCGCATCCGCATTCTCTTCTGTCTACCTTTTATTCGGTGTCCTTTCCTCCGTCTCCGTACCTTCTGGTCTTGTATCTCAGTGAAGATCATAATTTAGTTTCTTTTCTTTTTTATTGTTGTTGGTGTTGTGGGTGGTGATGATACTGAAAATGTTAATATTATTCATATTCCGTTGCCATGGCGATGAATACATTGACAATGATGCGGACGAAGGAAACGGAAAGGAGGGAGGGATAAAAAGATGATGTATTTTCGTATAAAATAGGAGAGGGGGGAGTAGCGGGAGAAAGTGAGCGGGAGAAGGAATAAGGAAACTTCAAGGGGGACAAGATGATTATCAGCCCACAACAGATGACATGCATTCATGTATAAACCACACAGACATACATACACACATATATATATATATATATATATATATATATATATATATATATATATATTTTGTATTTAGGCAGCAACCCTTCTTTCATGCATTTCATTGAATACGACAGAAAAAGATGCTTTGATTTAGTTTTATACAATTTTCATGTGATCCAATATTTTTTTTTCTTTTCGGATAATAAATTATATGAAAACTGTTCAATTGTTCTTTTTTATACGAGCTCTATCGGCTATACATTTAGCCATTTTCAAGGTTGAAATAAATTACTGTTAACAAGAAATAGATTTTGTATGTATGTATTTGTATGTTTTCATTTTAAAAACACGGTCAAGATATTATGTCCATATCCAAAGTTAATATTATTAATTTTTTTTTTTTTTTTTTATTAATAAATTTTATTTTTAGCCTTTTCTTGCATGTAGATGATGCTATTGTATCTGTGTTGTCAATATGTATGTTACGAATAGTGTCCGGTAGTGTCCATGGTTATTTAAATGAGATCTAATTGAGCTATGGTCAGAAAGATGTAGAGTGAGTCTTCGTGTCAAACATGTTGTAGTGTGGCCTGTATAATTATTTACAAATTTTGATTGATCAGGAATACAATTCCTTAATGGGAATTTAAATTTGTAAATAATATTTTTCCTATTTACTTTTGTTCTAAGAGGTGAATATATATATATATATATATATATATATATATATATATATATATATATATATATATATATAAGTGAACATTGAAGTCAACACTCAGAGGCGACAGACTATTTCATGCTAAACACATCGTCAGGTCTCATGACGATAGTGTTTATCATGAATCAAACTGTCGCCTTTGAGTGTTGATGTCAATGTTCATTTTTATATTTACATACGCTCTTTAATAGTGAGTAATTTATCCCATAAATATAACACTTTAAAACTATATTTCTTACACACACACACACACACACACACACACACACACACACACACACACACACACACACACACACACACACACACACACACATATATATATTTTTAATATGTTTTTTGAAAAACTTAGCGTTGCGTCTTTGCACGTTCCGAGATCTTACACAACCGTCAATAATAGCAGATATTCAAAAAACATCTTTTGGTCGACATACAGGTATATCGTCTCAAGTTTTTGATTTTATAAGGAAAAAAAAAAAACACATGCCTGATGATGAATAGAAGACTATCCGTAAGTACTAGCATTTTAACATCAAATAAACTGAAAAAATACAGACAACAAGTTTTTCGTCAAGGATCAAAACTCGCACTATGGATGAACAGGATTTTAATGCATATATTATGTTTTCTAGCGATGGATGTCGCCAATAATCGCATTAATACTTCTGATTAATTCTATGTGTGATTATTCTTTGTATGTAAATCATATGCTGCCTAATGTTTTATGTTTATTATATATATATATATATATATATATATATATGTATGTGTGTGTGTGTGTGTGTGTGTGTGTGTGTGTGTGTGTGTGTGTGAACATTGAAGTCAACACTCAGAGGCGACAGACCATTTCATGCTAAACCCATCGTCAGGTCTCATGACAATAGCATTTAGCATGAAACAGTCTGTTGGATTTGATGTTGACTTCAATGTTATTTTATATTTACATCCGCTCTTTGATATTGAGTACTTTATCCCATAAATATAACGCATTAAAACTATATTTCTTCTTCTTCTTCTTCATCTCTCTCTCTCTCTCTCTTTATATATATATATATATATATATATATATGAATAAAAAGACAAGAGGAAGAACTATTTGTAGTCAAAGCATTTCATTCTCTAAGACACTTTATCAAGGCAAATATAAGATTTATTTTGTTGCATCTCATGAATATTCTTTTAATGAAGTTGAGTACATTATCCCATAAATATAGCATACCTTAAAACTATATTTCTTTATTTATATATACATATGTGTGTATTATTAAATTCTATTACCCAACAAAGAAAATAACAAGATAAAAACTTAACAGCAGTACCTTGTCAGTCGTTTTTAATGTATATATATGAGGAAGTTATTTTTTGTATATAGACAGCCAAAGTTGTTTCGCTAAAATGTTCTTTGCATAATTATTAAATCTAGACAAGATTCGTTTTTTTTTCAAAAAAGATTCTTCTATGTTTCATGCCCATTCAGTATGCTGGTAATCATGGCTCTCCACAATGTTCTTTGTAGCTCTTAATAAATTTATCTTTTTGCTATCTCTCCTACGCCCTACTCTGCCATCCATTCACTCGATTTAGCCTATTAGGTTAAGCATTGATTTCCTCTGTCCTACTTAGCTTCAATCTTTCGCGTGAGTATCAAATTTTCCAAGCCCTCATTATGCACCCTAGAAATACCAAGTGTCTCTTACTCATGTTTTAGTTTCCATTGTCTCTAGAATTTTGTCGTTGCTCACGTGATCTGTCCATGGTATTCTTAGCATCATTCTGTAGAAACACATTTATTAATTAAAGACTCTTCTTCGTCTATGTGGTGTATTCACTGCCATTTAGGGGGTTTGATAATATGTAACAGTTCAGAATTCTATTTACTTTTGTGGTTTCAATTCTTATTTTCATCTGTCATGAGATTGGGCAGCATTCACTGCCATATAGGAGGACCGATATTACATGATAGTTCAGTACTATTTTCTTTGTTTCTGTTGCTTCAAGTCTCTTCTTCATCTGTGCGGAGATTGTCCAGTATTCCCTGCTATGTTGGAGGACCGATATAACATAACTTTTGAATACTCTTTTCTTTGTTTCTAACGAAATTTTACTGCTCCTTAATACTTTGCTTAGCTTTTGGAAGGCACCTTTCGCTATTCCAATGCGCCTTCAGATTTTAAGTATTACATTTCCCGTCCTTTGTTAAATCACTTCCTAGATATTTAATTAAGCTACCGTTGTTCTGTTATATGGAAAATATTTTTTCTAGTAACAAATAGAATGAATGGATATTCACTGGGAGTACTTTACTTGTAGCCATCCGCCAAACTAGATTAAGCTAGGACGTCTTTGACCCAACTGAAACCTCGGCCAACCAACCCAAGAAATCAGTCCTAACGACAACACTCTTAGACCTAATTGCTTTCCTTATCAACGTCAACATGTATGGATAATATTTGCCAAATTCCAAACAACTATGTATATATTATGTATATTTGACGAATACACGCTATTGGAAAGTTAATTCTTGTTTGTTCATTTCCTCTGCAACCAAACGCTTTTTATAAAATCTGGTTGATTATTAATAGTGATTAGATATTTCGTTCCTCACTGGGCACCCAATAGTTGTGGCTTTGTACCAACCTCAGCTAAGCATAGCCTATAACATTAACGAATCACGGCGTAAGGTTATATTTCTTGGTTATTATTAATGTCCGTTCCAAAAAGATATTTGTGTGCGTTGAATAAGGAATTTTACAGAACAAATTTTTCGCTAGAAATTTTTTTTTATTTATTTTTCCTAGTATTTCTTCCATTGAATTCTTACCGGAAATGAATAAAATTTTGTTTTGTTTTTCTTTTCAGATACTAATTATTATTAGTTTAGTTAATGTACATGACCGGATGTCACTGAAAATGAACCTTGGTGTACGGGAAAAAAGACAATAGAAAATATACTGTAAAATCGACATCTCCACGTTATTCGCTACATATCATTTCTTTCACCTTGTTATAAATAGTAACGAGAGATTACTCTTCAGGACCACACACACACACACACACGCGCGCGCGCGCATATATATATATATATATATATATATATATATGAATGTAAATCGAGCAGTTTCTCAGTTTATGAACTATTTATCGCAATCTATCTCAATCGATTCCTATCTATCTGTCTGTCTGCCTCTCTCAATCTTTCTTTCTATTCCAGTTCATTCCTATATACCACAATCTATTTCTTTCTTTCTTTCTTTCTTTCTTTCTTTCTTTCTCAATCGATTCCTATCTGTCTCTCCCAATCTATCTATTCCAGTCTATTACCTCATATTTATCTCAATCTATTTTCTTTCTTTCTTTCTTTCTTTCTTTCTTTCTTTCTTTCTTTCTTTCTTTCTCAGTCGATTCCTACCTGTCTGTCTGTCTCTCTCAATCTATCTATTCCCATCTATTACTATATATCTATCTCAATCTATTCTTTCTTTCTTTCTTTCTTTCTTTCTTTCTTTCTTTCTTTCTTTCTTTCTTTCTTTCTAAATCGCTTCCTATCTATCTGTCTCTCCCAATCTGTCTATTCCAATCTATTCCTATCTATCACAATCTCTTTCTTTCTTTCTTTCTTTCTTTCTTTCTTTCTTTCTTTCTTTCTTTCTTTCTTTCTCAATCGATTCATATCTGTCTATCTGTCTCTCCCAACCTACCTATTCCAGTCTATTACTATATATCTATGACAATCTCTTTCTTTCTTTCTTTCTTTCTTTCTTTCTTTCTTTCTTTCTTTCTTTCTTTCTTTCTTTCTGCGTTTGTGTGGATATTGGTATATTTACATGCATAAATTTGAGGAATAATTGAAATGATTCAATTGTCGAATGTTACCTACATACATTGTGTCAATATAAACACAGGATGATCAATCTTTCGATCTCTATATAGGTCGGAATATATAAATTGATTGCTGCACACATGCATACCTGCCAACATCGATACCTCCACCAGATATCCAGGTATAAAAACCTGTTAATTTTTTAAAAGCATTTGTAATGACTAAAGCGTGTGTGCATGTGCGCGTGCGTCCGCGAATATGTGAGCATAATAGAGAGAGTGAAAAAAGAGGATAAAAGCAACGAAAGGAGGAGGAAAGTGTATGTGTGGGGGGGGAATTCAGTTTGTTATCGATGCTAAAGTCGAAAAAATGCAGAGAGATCGATTGCACCTAATCAATAGATCGATCAATGAGAATTCAAAACTCAGATATATAGACGTAAGATAAAATGGAAAAAGTTTATTTGTGACGCGTTTCATCAGTTAGGACATCATCGGACTGGGTTGTTAACTACGCATGTGCATGAACGAGAGACGCTGGTAGTTTCAAAATATTGTGAAAGAATTTTTTGAAAAAAGATTTTGCAATCTAATCAAATTCATCAATATTCTTTTTCTTCCCACCGTCTTTGTTTTTAAATAGTCCACATTGTGATAACAAATAATATATATATTATTCTAACTATTAACACCATCACAATTACAACCGAAAATAATTTATCTAAACTCATATATAAAATATAAATTTAAAACAATAAAAGACTTAATCAATACAAAACAAAACAACAAGCCGAAACTTGAAGGAGGAATTTACTCTGTTAACTGCAAGAATTACCAGAAAGATTATATTGAAGAAAGAGCTTTAAACAAAAGACTATGCACAATAAACATTTAAAAGAAAAACAACACACAAAACGTGTTGATTGTTTATCGTAACGAAATTGACCACAATTTTGGTATTAAAAAAAATACTACTGTATTTAAAAGATAATATAATACACCAAGACGGAAAATGTCTAGAAAATGCATTAATCGCTACTTCAGACAGTAAATTTTCATCTAGGTTCATACAACATTTCAACATTCTTGGCAGGTTTTTTGTTATCACAGTGTGGGATATTTAAAAAGAAATATAATGAAAAGAAAAGAATATATATAAATTTGGCTAGATTAAAAAAAATTATTTAAAAAATTTGAAAATACCAGCGTCTCCCGTTCAAGCACATGTGTATAGTCACAACAACGTCTGCTAACGCAGTTTGACGAAGTTCCAACAGATGAAACGCGTCATAAATAAACCTTTTTTCATTTTAACTTGCAATTTTCTCAATACTGGTCTTGATTTATAAAAATATGCATCGTATCTCAAATATATATATATATATATATATATATATATATATGAAGAAATATATATATATATATATATATATTTTTATATATATATGAAGAAATATAGTCTTAAGGTGTGCTATATTTATGGGATAAAGTGATCAATATCAGAGATAGAGCGTGTGTAAATATAAAAGTGAACACAGAAGTCAACACTTAGAGGCGACAGGCTGTTTCATGCTAGACACAATCATCAGGCCAGGATTGCGTCTAGCATAAAAATAACTGTCATCTCTGAATGTTTGTTTCTATGTTCACTGATATATATATATATATATATATATATATATATATATATATATATATATACTGATAGAAATGTGAAAGGAAAACTGAAAACAACCGCGCGTAAAAGGAATAAACAACAAAAAGTGTTCAATACAAAATTCAAAATCGAATATATGAAGCTAAGACATTTGAAAAAGGCTAAAATGCCAACCAACCTCTTTTGGTTTTCGACAGTAAGGTCGCCGAAGGCATGTGGAAAATTCCACTTGCCTGAGGAGATTGTTTTACATCGAAATTCCGGGTCCATTGAGATCAATTAACATTAACCATATATATATATATATATATATATATATATATATATATATATATATATATATATATCACCTCAAACAAGGCGGGTATAACACTATTACACAGAAGATTACAAAGAGTGAAAATGACAGAAAAGACTGATTATAAGGAAGATTGAAGACAGGCAAAAGATGAACGGGCTTCAAAAAGAAAGAAATTTATATACATTTTTGGAGATTGTATTTATCAGGGAAGCAATTAAATGGAAGAGAGTTCCACAGGCGGGAAGAGTGAGAATATAAGCTGTTGGAGTAGAAATGGCGATTATGTTTAGGCATTTCAACAGTAAATGGGTCGGGCCTAGACGCTAATCTAGTAGAACGTTTAAATTCATACTATCGAGGCAGCAGGGAAAAAAGCTTGTCAGATCAATTATATGAAAATATTTGAAGAAAAGACAGACGAAAGCCACGTCAGATCGGTGAAAAAGTCACTGAAGTCAAGATACCAAGTTAGGATCGATTCGATGAACGATCTGTAGAAATTTTGTCATGTACCTCAAGACGAACAACAGGAGCACCTGACCAGATATGGCAGCAGTATTCACTACACGAGCGAATGGTAAATTTGTGAATGTGAAAGATGAACTATGACGAATGTGAAGTTTTCTAGCAGGTCGCAGTGAGCATATTTTCCTTGCAGCAGATGCAGCTATTGATTCAATAGTCAAGGAAAAACGTGAGGCCAAGAATGCACAACGTGTTGCTTTCTATGAGTCTAGCGTCAGCTATGCTGATGCGGGCAGAAAAGTTTCTCTATAGTGGCTAAATGTGACCAATTTTGTTTATACAGGGTGTCCATAAAGTTCGTGTGCACTTTAAAAAATTATAACATTATTTGTATTTGCGATAGAAATAATCTGTAAAAATGTTATAAAGTTTAATGTACCTAGTTTAAAAGTACAGCTAAAATAACTAATGTGATTTCAGGCATTACTGTAAATCACTTGGCAAATGTTTTCCGTGAACTGCAAAATCGTATTACCCTTTGTATTGCTAATGATGGAGGACATGTAGAAACTTAAATAAAATTTCAATAAAACCTTAAAAAATATAGATTTGCTTCTTTGTAGTCCTTTTTACAAATTATTTCTATCGCAAATACAAATAAAGTTATAAGTTTTTTAAAGTGCACACGAACTCTATGGACACCCTGTATATATATATATATACACCCTGTGTATGTGTGTGTGTATATATATATATATATATATATATATATATATGTGTGTGTGTGTGTGTGTGTAAAATATCCGAATAAAATATTTTCTTATTCACATTTCTCTCCATTTACTTGAGCATTATCCAAACAAAACTGTAAAAAAATCTAATGGAAAGTCGTTACGATAACAATACTGATGTATAAAAAGCCAGATGAAAAATTTTAACAGTTAATAAAAAAAAGATTTGTACAATATAAAATGAAAATTTGAAATATAAATTTGAAATTTGAAATATATGTTAAAATAAATGAAAATTTTAAATATAAAATTGAAATATGCTACAATGAAATTAAAATGTGCTTATTTACACCATTTTTAAATGGTGTAAATAACATTATTCGTTAGCTTTATATTCATTTATTTAAAATTTAAAAATTCAAATTTCAAATTGCAATCTAAAATTATTTTCTGGCTTTAAATAACCTGAAAAGAGTTGATAATCCGTAGAAAACTAGTCGATAAATTAATCAATGATGTCCACATTTTGCTATAAATGCTTCCCCGCCAATAGTTATGTCTTTTAATATCAGTTCCATGATATTTTCTCTTGTTTCATCTTGCTTCTAATATTTCTTTATTCTTACGATTGTTTTCAGAACATTGTAATATTCAGTTCATCTTTTTCTATTCCGATCAAACTTTCACTGCTAAGACCCGCCATGCACATTTTAGCCAATCACCGTCGTTCCCTTCGGATTCCATTCACCAATGGATCGTATTGAGAAGCTGTTTGGATGAATAAGTTTCATTCAAACATCTTCTCAATACAACTGCTATTTTGTAGAATGCTTTCCCGATCATTACAATCATAATCTCAAGTCTAGGTTTAACCGTTATATTTCCTCTCATATCCTCATAATCTGTACCTCTTACCTTTTACACTCTAACTGGGTTTTGCAGTAAATCACTAAATCCTCCATAACTTTTGTATTATCCTCTCAAATTACACCAAAATCTCAGGCAATAACAAATAATATCGTATTTATTGTCTGTGAAAATTATAGAATATAAAACAACTTTGATAAAAAATTATATCTACTTTTCTGACGAAAACAATGCCGTTCTAAACATTTTGGCCGCAACTGTATATGTATGTGTGTGTGTGTTTTAATCATTTTCCCCCAGGGAAAGCGATGACGTCACTAAGACGTAAGGGGTTACTAAGTGAAAGAATAGAAGACGTTAGTGAGTAGAAAGGACAATAAAAGAATAGATTTCAGGAAAAGAGAAGATGGTGGTTGAGGTTGCATTTACATTTTTGAAGATCGTAAGTGACTGTGAATCAATTAACCAAAAGAGTTTCACAGGTAAGAAGTGCGGGAAAAGAAACTATTTGAATAGAACTTACGGTTACATCGAACTATTTCAACAGCAAAACGATGAGACCTAGTTGCTAATCTAGTAATACGCTTAAATTCAGTCCATCGAGGTACCAAGGAGCAGCTCGTTAGAATAATTGCCCTGGAAATATTTGTAGAAAACATAGCAGGAAGCCACTTCATGGTGACGAGAAAGTGACTGAAGTCGAGATGCCAGATCAGGACCAATAACATTACAGACCCGTCTTTGAAATTTGTCGAAAATATGTACGTATATATCTTGTTGGCTTGTGGTTAGCTTGCCAGTCTACCTTTATTTCTGAATGTAACAAATTTGATTATTATGAGGTTGCTCGTTTTGTGTCAGATTATGCTAATTTTTGTCAATATCGATAAACCTTTTACCAATTTTGAGCTTATCTCTTTCTGGCCTGTCTGTATTCCCTTCCAATCCCCAAACAAACAGAAGTACAACCAAAATGGCGGGTGATTATTCCC